AAAATTATACAGGAGAGCCAGGAGGCAACGATTTCAGACAATCAAAGCAGCATGGCATTTGGCAGGTTTGTCAGATGCAAGCATCTCCCACTCTGAGCAGGCCATCTAGAATAGTGGTTCTCAGCCTTTCTCAGGCTGCGACCCTTTAATACATTTCCTCATGTGGTGATGACCCCCCCATCCATAAAATTATTTTGTTGCTACTTCATAACTATAATTTTGTTACTGTTATGAATCGGGCGACCCCTGTGAAAGGGTCGTTTGACCCCCAAAGGGTTGGTGGCCCACAGGTTGAGAAGCACTGATCTAGAAGAAGTGCTTTTTCTGGGGCTTGGGGCTCTCGCCACTCCTGCAGCCTTGGGGGTTCCCAGGGTAGAACGAGGTGGGGGTCATGGGAGGGGAGGCAGAGTTGTTGTCCTTAGTGTAAAAAGCTAAACAGAGGTCAAGGTTTTCTCACGGCGGTCTTCCTAATCATGCCCAGGTTCCGGGCTTCTGCTGAGCCTCACAGGTGGTGATAGAGTCAGGTAGACAAGCCAGTATGAATCGTCTATGGAGAATAGCAAGGGGAATGGGTCAGGTACAGTCAAATAGTTGGGAGCAATGAGAGGGGCCTGGGGTGTGAGCACCAAGCGTTTCCTCGACCCGTTGTCTGTGTGTTGAAGCCATCATCCTTCCCACTGCCTGAGATGCAAGAGGGTGGACTAGTTGAAGGCGAGACTGTGGATGAAAGTGGCCCTGGGAGTGAATCTGTTCTGACCCTTCCTGACATTATATAATTTTGGACAAATGAAACTTTTTGAACTGTGCATTTTGCTTCTCTTCAGAGGAAATGATAGACTCCGTCTTAGGGGCTGTCACGGAGTTAAGTTAGATGAATCGTCTGCAGCAGCGAGCAGAGTGCGTTGCACATAGGCGCTTTCAGCAGATGACCCTAGTGCTATGATTGGACTCTCCGGACATTTGACTCCTTCTGGAAAGCAGGCCCAAGGATTTCGTTCAATCTGTTCAATCGCCATAGAGCGCTCCACTTGATCTCAACCTGGGAAATATGCCCACTTCTTTCCTGGGTGACTTGGTGGTGGATGGTGGAGATCGTTGGCACTTTCGCCTCAAGGAGGAAGTTCCTTCTCCTAGACTTAGGCTATCAGTCTACCCATCTCTGGAGAGCTCACTGAGAGAGTGGCCTGGCCCCACAACACAAAACCTATGTTTAATCCTAGAGTTGGCTGCTCACAGACACCACGCCTTTCATCGGAAAGCCCTTCGCCCGGCAATGCCTTCCCCAGAGTAAATGCCCCGCCTGCCTTCCAAGCTTGAGAGCTATCATAGTTTGAAGTTGAGGGTTTGTTCACAAAAGCTGGGCCACTCGGGGTTGAGGACACTGTCACAGTTCTGTGACACCGAGTTTATTGCTTGAGCCCCCTGTGCCTCAGTTTATTGCTGCTGCTGTCATTCAGTGTCATTGAGTTAGTTCTGACTCATATCCACCCCACACACACTGCCCTGTCTGGCACCTTCCTCAGACTCAGCATGATGGAGCCCATTGTTGTAGCTTCTGTATCTGTCCATCTATTAATGGGCCTTCCGCTTTTTGACTACCCTCTGTTATACCAAGAACAGTGTCCGTCTCCAGGAACCGGCCCCTCTTGGTCCAGCATACCAGAGGGAAAGT